TGTCAGCATCAGACACCAGTTACTTCTCCTTTGTAGACACCTGTGTTGTAACTCTGGGGACTCCCTCTGACCTGCTCACCCACCTCTGCTAATGGCTGGGACGTGAGACGACACTCATCCTCACCATTGCTCCTCCCATGCCCACTGTCTCCAATTTCCAGGCTCTGGAACTTTGGCTGCTTGACCACCGTGGTTTTACACTTTTACACTGGCCAAACAGCAGGCACCCAGTAAAGCTGCCCACTGAACAGAGGAGAGAAAAAAAAAGAATGAAGGGTTCATGGGCTGAGATAAGGACTGCCTCCAAGGGCAAAAGAGGCTCAATTGACAGGTAGAAAGTGAATTAATTTCTAAGAAGAGCAGAGGAGGATACAGAGAAGTAAAACAGCCCTTAAAAACCCCTTTGCTTCCCCCAACCCTTCTCTCCTTGCCACCAACAGCATAGGGAGACAGAGTGTGAAGTGTTTGGTCAGTCCAGCACCCAAGGTTTTCTCCCAGTGCTCCGGGAGAGGAGTCCCTCCCCTGCTGCACCGTGGGGTCCCTCCCAAGGGAGACAGTTCTTGAATTTCTCCAGCGTGCCTCCACTCTCACAAGTAGCAGTCCAACCAAAACTGCTGCAAAGTGGGTTCCTCCCAAAGGCACAGAGACCTCCCAAAACTGCTGTGCCATGGGTTATTCTTCCATAGGGTGCAGTCCTTCAAGGAGAGGCTGCTCCAGCCTGGGAGCAGGGGACTCCTCCCTTCACTGTGTCTCCCTCTGGATCACAGCCTCCTCCAGTCATCCAACCAGGCTGGTGTGAGCCCCAACCTATGGGCTGTGGGTGGAGTTGTTCATCCCCTGTGGATCCATGGCCTGCAGGGCCACGGCTGCCTCTCTATGGTCTCACCATGGCCTGCAGAAGAATCTTGGTTCCAGTGCTTGGAAGGACTCCTCCCCCTCCTTCTTGCCTGACCTGAGTGTCTCCATGTTGTTTCTCTCACATGTTCTCACCTCCTCTTCTTCTCTGGCTGGAATTAAAACAACACACCTGACTTGCTTTGATTTTCTTCTTATATATGTTCTCGCAGAGGCATTACCAATATTTCTCATCGGCCCAGATTTGGCCAGCAGCATGTCCATCTCCAGAGCCATCGGGGACTGGATCTGCCAGACATGGTGGAAGCTTCCAGCAGATTCTCACAGAAGCCACTTCTGTGGCCCTCTGCTACCAAAAACCAGGCTGTGCATAACCAACACCCCAAAACCTTAAGTGCCACATCGATCAACTTCCCTGGCTCTTCCCAGGACATCTATCCCTGACAGTAATCAGAAATGCCCTGCCATCCACAGCAAGCTTGTGAAATACAAGGGAAGCCCAATAGAGAAAAGGATTGGCTTGGATTCTGTGTTGTTTCATGTGTGAGGAGTGTTGCTTTCCATCTGTTCTAATCAGTGCTGGGGGACTGGGGAGGTCCCAGATGCCTGGAGTTTGGCCACTGTGACACCCATGCACAAGAAGGGCTGGAAGGAGAATCTGGGCAACTACAGGTGTGTCCACCTGACCTCGCTTCCCACAAGGCTTATGGAGCAGCTTGTCCTGAGTGTGATCACACAGCCCATACAGGATAACCAAGGCATCAGTCCCAGCCAGCAGGGCTTTAGGAAAGGTACGTCCTGCCCAGTGAACCTGATCTCCTTTGATGAGCAGATCACTGACTGGCCCAGAGCATGAGGGGGAGGCTGTGGAAGTGTCTACCTGGACTTCAACCAAGTGTCTACCTGGACATTCTCCCACGGCATTCTGCTGTAAAAGCCATCAGCCCATGGCTTGGAGAGGTGCTCTCTTGGCTGGGCCAGGAACTGTCTGGATGTCCAGGCCCAGAGAGTGTTGGTGACCAGTGCCACATGCAGCTGGCGTGTGGCCACAAGCGGTGTCCCCCAGGGATCCGTGTGGGGCCCAGTCCCGTTTGCTCTCTTTACTGATGATCTGGGTGAGGGCACCCAGTGAAGCCTCACTAAGATCATGGATGATGATACCAAGTTTGGAGGGAGACTCAGCTGCTGGAGGGCAGGAAGGCTCTGCAGAGGGCTCTGCACAGGCTGGATCCGTGGCCAAGGCCACCTCTGCAGGCAGGGCAGAGAAAGGCCATGAAGCTGGTGAAGGCCCTGCAGGGTCAGGCCTGTGAGGAGCAGCTGAGGCAGCTGGGGCTGTCTAGCCCAGAAGAGGGGGATGCCCTGAGAGATCATTTCTCTCTACAGCTGCCTGAAAATGGGGTGTAGCCAGTACAAAGAGGATCAGCATTTTCTCCAAGGCAATCAGCAGGACAATAAGAGGACAAGGCCTCAATGTGCACCAAGGGAGATTGTGGTGAGACATCAGGAGGAATTTCTTCACATAAAGGGTGATTCAACACTGGAATGGAGTGCCTGAGGATGTGATGGAATCCCAATCCCTGGAGACTGGGTGTGGTACTCAGTGCCATGGTCCAGTTGACCGGGGGTAATTGGTCCAAGGTTGGACTCCATGATCTCAGAGGCCTTTTCCAACAGAAATGATTCTGTGCTTCTCACAGCAGCCCAGCAC